AAAAGATACATGCAGGGTAAATTGGAGGTAACCTCAGGAGAAAGGCACTAATTTTGAGGGTGATGGGGAAAATCTTCTTTTTTATTTAAGAAAAAATTTATCATTCCCCAACTGATAAATGGTCAAAGGATACAAACAGGCAGTTTTCAGATGAAGAAATTAAAGTTATCTATAGTCACATGAAAAAATGCTCTAAATCACTATTGATTAGAGAAATGCCAATTAAAACAACTCTGAAGTACTACATCACACCTATCACATTGGCTAATATGACAAAACAGGAAAATGATAAATGTTGGAGAAGATGTGGGAAAATTGGAACATTAATGCATTGTTGGTGGAGTTGTGAACTGATCCAACCATTCTGGAGAGCAATGTGGAACTATGACCAAAGGGCTATAAAACTGTGCATACCCTTTGACCTAGCAATACCACTACTAGGTCTGAATCCCAAAGAGATCATAAAAAAGGAAAAAGGACCCACGTGTTCAAAAGATATTTATAGCAGCTCTTTTTGTGGTGGCCAAGAACTGGAAATTGAGGGGATGCTCATTAATTGGAGAATGGCTGAACAAGTTGTGGTATATCAATATAATGGAATATTATTGATCCATAAGACATGATGAGCAGGTGGATTTAAGAAAAACCTGGAAAGACTTACATGAACTGATGCTGAGTGAAGTGAGTAGAACTAGGAGAACATTGTACACAGTAACAGCCACGTTGTGCAAGGACCAACTTTGATAGACTTAGCTCTTCTCAGCAATGCAAGGATCTAAAACAATTCCAAAACGTTCATGAGGGAAAATGCTATCCACATCCAGAGAAAGAACTATGGAGTCTGAATGCAGATCGAAGCATACTATTTTTGCTTTTTGTTGTTGTTTTTTTTTTCTTGTGGTCTTTCCCTTTTGTTCTGATTCTTCTTTCACAACATGACTAATGTGGAAATATGTTTAATATTATTGTACATGTATATCCTGTATCAGATTGCATGCCATCTTGGGGAGAGGAGAGAAGAAGGAGGGGGAAAATTTAGAACTCAAAATTTTATAAAAGTGATTGTTGAAAACTAATTAATTATTAATTTTTTAAAAAGAAAAATTTTACTAATGCATTAATATTTGGGTAAAGTTATTGCAATGTGTATGAAAGGTAGACAGACTTGCAGGCTATAAGAAAACAAAAAGGGTTTTATATAATTAAAATATTAAAACAAACCTCTGGGATTTAGGTGAATGACTAACAAATCCATAAAAGAAATTAAATCTGAAGATTAGATCTTGTATTTGCACCTACAATGTCACTGGAAGAAGAATTTTACCTTTTCCATTCTTTTCAATAAATCCCTTAGCTCTTTCCAAAGAACAATGCTCTCAAATCACAATGATTAACTTAATTTCAAGGTCTTTCATCATAAAGAATGTAGGTAGCAGAAAAACAAATATTAACTTAAATTTTGGAGAATTTTACTCAGGAAACATTCATATTATTTACCTGAACTAATTACAAGATCTATGGACATCCTGAATACTGAATTCAAGAAAAGTTTATGATTTATAAGTTTTGCCAGTGGAAATAGTTAAAAATGAACACATACAATATTAGTCCTACCAAATTTCCCCCCCGTAAGTTATGTGTATAATAAAGTCATGAGGAAAACGTTCATTACATTTGCTTATTACACATTAAGGGACAGAGCAAGAATGTCTATAGGTCTGAAGGTTTAGCATTCACTTTATTGTGCTTTAGTAGTTTTAATAAAACAACCAACACATACTACATCCTCCCAATGTTCATGGTGATGCAGTAATGATATAAAATTCTCCAAAGAGAATCAAGGTCACCAGAAATCACATGAAATACTGGTTCACTTAGTAATAAGTGCAACATTGAAAACAAATAGCATTTTACATGATCTTTCCATTGAGCTTCCATATGAGAAACCAACAGTAGAAACAGATCTTCTGGTAATCCTGTAAACTCCATGAAGAGCTTGGGAGATGTGTCAATAGGACACAGAAAAGGCATCCTTCAATTCAGGGAAAATGAAACTAAACCTGGATATGCCTTGTTGAAATAAAAAAAAAAAAAACACCTGGTAGAGATGACAGCATAAATATTGAGCAGAATCAGAGTCCTGGAGGCAGATAAGAAATGGATTTTGGATTCGGCTGATTTACAGAGCTCTTTTTCTTAAATTATCTTGAATTTAAAAAGAAAAAAGCTTCATTATATTTTTTCAGAAATAATTACAAAGACTAAAGAGTTCTACACAGTTTAAAGACACAAAGAGGATGCTCAGCGACTAGATGTCACCCCAGGAGCACAATTTTAGAAGGTTAGTCCTTGAAGTAGGATGGCCCCGTGGCTCTGGCAGGAGATACAAAGGAATGATGCTTGGAGAGGAGGTAGGGGACACCGCGCAGTTGACTGGTGGACAGAAAAGTGTCCCATTCTGACAGGAACCCTTAGACTCCATTGTTTATCTCCCACTGCTTAGGTCTCTGTCTTTATAAATGGCAATTTCAGTAACACGAAGTCCTCTCTCAATTGGGTCTGTCGGAAGGAGGCCTTGGGTGGATGGCTGGGGGGGCTATATCTTCTCATTCTGTTCCTGAATATATTTGGTGATTTTCCAAAGAACCTTCTCATAAAGTGTTTCCATGCACAAAAAGATTGTATATGCCGTCAGACAAGCTAAACAACCTTCAAGGTAAGATTGGCTCCCACGCTTTTCTGCTTCTGCACAAAGGTTATTTAGAGTACGAACAGTTTCTTCAAGCTGCTGCTGGTCAATCCAGTTCTCCAGCTCGGCGGGGATCTTGGTCTGGAGCTGGCACCGGTGCCATGCCATTGCTGTAGTCCTGCTGGATGAAGACCTTGCCGGATACGGTGCGGGCTGCTATCTCTTGGAGTACTGGCTGGCTGGCTGGGGCTGAGCCGGATCACGCTTGGGGGGCGGGGGGGGGGGGGACAAGACAACTCCAGGGTCTCAGGCCCAGGAGCCGACTCCAAATCTTCCCTTTCAAGGCTCCCAGCTCAGTGAGAACCTCTTTCTCTTTCAGGCATCCAGTGCCCTGGCCCTCCTCTGATCAAAGCCTGCTCTCAGGAAAGGAGCCCACAACTCACCTGTAGTTCCTAAGAGTCATACGGTTTGGACTAGGAAGGGATATTTGAGATTATCTAGTCCTACCTTCTGCTTTTACATCTGATGACACTAAGACCCAGAAAGGTTGGACTTGCCTAAGCTCATGCACTTACTGTCAGAGCTGGGATTTGAACCTAGGTTCTCTCATTCCAAGTCCTGGATCCTCGCCGCTGGTGAACACCTCGTCTCCCCTAAGGGTATTTACCCTTTGAGTCCATCATAGAATCAGTCAACACAGGAAGGCTCGATTGAAGTGATTCCAAGTAGTAAACACCTACTATTGTTCAAATTTGCCCAGGCCGAGAAATGCAGCAAAGCCAAGTGGCCGGCCTGGTATTGGAATCTATTAATTTCCCCTGCAAACCCATCGCTCTTCCAAACCTCCATCTATCCATGCAGGCGCCAACAATTCTTCCAGTTTTCCAGGTTCATGACTTCAGTGTTACGTTCCTCACTCCTCACTCTCCCCACGTGTCTCATCAACCTGCGAACCTTGCTGTTTCTGCCTCCACATCTCTAGCGTCCAATCCCTTGTCTTGACTCACATAAATACCTTTCACTTCTCACCAGATTATTGTGACAGTCTCCCTGCTTCTCGGCTCTCCTCAATCCACTCCATTCTCCACACATTCACCAAAGTGATTTTCCTTGCCCACGTCACCCCCTTACCGTGCCTGACACACAATAGATACTTAGCAAATGCTTATTGTAGACTGATTGATTGATCTAGGATTCCATTAGCATCCCACTCTAGCCACCTAACCTCCCTCGCTTTAGACCAATAATATCCTGAGTAACTGAGAGGTGACTTTAGTTCACTGATTTAGCAACAGCAGAAGTTGAAACACTGAGTACAGCATGGCTACCTCCTTTTTAAATTAGTGATTAATTTCCTACCTCCAAGACTTTGCACAAGTGATTTCCCCCTAGTGCCTCTTTCTTGCATAGTAGAATCCCTCTCTTCCTTCCGCCCACCTCCTACAGGATCTCCCACCTCCCCAGGGATAAACACACTTTCCTGCTGGAAATTACTTTGCATTGCTTACTCCCTAGCCCAGCATCAAAGGCGTTCCCCAACCTGTACCTCACACCAATTCTACCTTTCCTTGCCTATATTGGGTAGTTCCTACACACAATGAATTTTATTTCCCTTCACATATTTATATAGTATTTCTAAATTCGTCCCCTTTATATACCTTCCATTCACTGTTCTCCAGACATATCTTGCCCTTTCTCACCTCCATGCCTTTGTTTATGCTATTCCTTTGGGGGACCTTTGTGCCACGTTTCTGCTAGTTGAAAACTTACGCAGTTTAAATACTAACTCTCCCATGGTGCCTGTCCCCTGTCTAATCAGAAGTCATTCGATCTCTGATCTGATCTGATCTGATCTCTGCTTTGAACTCTCATTCCACTGTTCTCTTGTATATTTTGATGTTTCATGTTGTATGATAGTCCTTTCTATCACCTCTGCTACAAGACTAAGCCCACTGAAGGCAGGTAATGCATCGTCCTCATCTTTGTATTTTCTTCAGTACCCAGCAGAATCCCATGCAGTCAGTGCTGAATAGGTGTTCGATGAATTGAGCAGCAGCTAAACTCATGTGATCATTGCTTAGAGCTGGAAGGAATCTTCGATGATCCATTAACCATCAAATCCTCTCATTTGACAAATGAGGAAACTGATCCCCCAGAGACAGGAGGTGACTGAGGTCAGAGACATTGTAAATAGCAGAGTCGGCATTTGAACTAAGTTCTCTGCCTCCATATGAAGTACTTTTTCCATGACACCATACTTGCTTCTCCTAACTGAATGGCAGAGATGATTTGTGCTTATTTTGTCCTGCAGGTGGGTTTCTGGTCCCTTATCTCATCATGCTCATTCTTGAAGGGATGCCCCTTCTTTATCTGGAGCTGGCAGTGGGACAGCGTATGCGGCAGGGGAGTATCGGAGCGTGGAATATGATAAGCCCCTATCTTCGAGGAGTCGGTAGGTCCCCCGTTCTTGCATTCTTGTGTTGTTCGCCTCATCATGGCAGGTATAGACTGCCTTGGGGAGTGCCATGCTCAATATAACATAGACCATTGTGTTCTACGCCTATAAGTATATCTGCTAATAGTAGAAAACCCCCAAAGACAAGCTTGGTTACAATAAAAGGGACAGGAAAGGATGAGAATGGATAGTAAGGAAAAATCTGGATCAGAAGAAAAAGAGAAGGTTGGCTATCAACAGAATTGCCGAACTAAGTAGTCATTTGGATGGTAGGTGAGAATATTGGGGGTGGGAGAGAAATCGAGTTACTTGGTAAACTCAATCTCCCAATGCACCTGCTCTGTAACTTATAGCCATGGAGGGTTGTCTGTGTCATTAAGGAGTTAAGTACCTTCCTCAGGTTCACAAAGCTAGCATATGTCAGAGGGAAAACTTGAACCCATGTTTCCTAACACTGAGGCTAGCTCTTGCCACTAGGAAAGAAAGAAACAAACATTTGTTAAACTCCTACTATGTTTCAGACACTTGACAAATATCTTATATAATCCTCACCACAACCATGGTAGGTAGGTGCTATTTATGTTCCCCATTTTACAACTGATGAAACTGAGGCAGGCTGAGGTGAAGTGACTTGCCCAGGATCAAAAAGATAATAAGTATCTGAGGCCAGATTTGAACTTGGGTCTTCCTGACTCCAGGGCTGATGCTCTACCTATCCCCCCCTCCAGTGGCTTCTGTACTATGTTACCAATAATACTAATTCATGTGTTATATAGCACTTTAAGGTTTACAAAAATACATTTCTCACCACACCCTTGTGAAGCAGACAATGCAAGTATTATCCAGATTTTACATATGAGGAAACTGAGGCTTTGGGAAACCAGTTGGTATGCCTGGGATCACCCAGCTATTGTGACATGATCCTGACTGTCTTGACTACAGCTGTAGTTTTCTTTCCCTGACGTGGCTCCCCTTCTCGATGAGGAAGCAGCATTGCTATAGTGGGAAAAGAGTGCTGGGAATTGAATCAGAGGGCATGAGTTCAAATCCCGGCTCTACCACTTGCCAGTCACATCATTTCTCTGGGCCTCACCTTCCTCATCTCTAAAGTGAGGGGGCTGGACTAGTGACCTTAGGTTTCATTCACACTGTAGATTTGGCATCCCATGATTTCCTTCCAGCTCTAAGTTCCTATGAATGCTCTCCTGGGAATGAATGCTAGCAGACCCAAACAGGTCAGTGAAAGAGCTCTAGCTGCCTTGCCCAAAGAAATACGCATCCACATTGAAGGCAAAACCATCTTCTCTCTGACTCTGCTGTTATGGTTGTCACTGAGTGACCTCTTCTGCAACCAACTTCTCTTCTACCCTGCTGCCATCTTGAATAACAAACTCATGGTCCACAGGCAAAATGGTAGACGAGTATTTCATAATTTACCAGTATCAGGAAAAAAATGTAGGTGATCCCAAGTCAGCCTGGATGGGCCAGCCCACTCAATGGGGGGAGCCACCAAAAGGCCTTCTGACATCAGGCTGCATTTCATCATCAGTGGTCAAAGTCAATATTCTGCTCACCCTGTGCTCCAAGAGAGAGGGTAAAAACAAGTAGTTATGCACACCAACATTTGAATAAAATATTCAGGTCATCTCCCATGTCTGCTGCAGAATAAAACTATCTCCATGGCATTGGTGCCTGGGAAATGAAATTGACTCTGCTCTGAATGACTGTTAATTTTTAACACTCGGGATATGTTGTTTTTCAGTCTATATTGAGCAATGAGTAATTATTAATAATAATCTCTAGCATTTATATAAAACTTTATTTTTTCTAAGAACTTTACAAACATTACTTCATTTTAATCCTCACAACAACCCTGAGAGATAAGGTGCTATTATTATTCCCATTTTACAGTTGAGGAAACTAAGGCAGTCAGAAGTCCAATGACTTGCCGAGGATTCCACAGCTACTAAGTGCATCTGAGCTTTAAACCAGATCTTCCTGACTCTAGGTCCAGCACTCTAGTCACTGTACCATCCAGCAGCCCACTTAAAGAAATCAGGGAAATGAGTGCTGTGATAGGAATCCTTACTAGGAACCTACATCTACACTTTGGAAATTTCCATCCATTACTCTCAGGTCTGCTCTTTGGAGCTGAGCAGAGCAAGGCAGATCCCTCTGTCACGTGACAGATACTCAAATCCCTGAAGATAGTGCCCTCCAAATGCTCTTTTCTCCACATTTCTAATTCCCTCCACCAGTCCTCATGTGTCATGTCCTCCAGGTCTTTCACCATCCTAGTCGCTCTCTTTTAGACACATTCCAGCATAAAATGGGGCAATTGCAACTGAACAAACATTCCAGATATGGTTAATCATGGACACAGTGCAGTGGGACGAGCACCTCTCATGTTGTCGACACTAACGTTTGATGGCTGTAGCTTCAAACTGCCTTAACGCTTTTTGGCTACCCCAGTAGATGCCTCTGGTTTCATTATCCGGCGTGTTTGCGCCTTCTCCCACAAATTGAATAAGTATGACATCTCTTGTCTTTGTCCAAGTCACTGGTAAAAATGTTGAACAGAATGGGACCGAAAATAGATCCCTGGGGCACTCCTCTAGAGACCTCAACAGGAAACCATTAATCACTGTTCTTTGGATTCAAAATCTAAATCTATCTACCTGTGCTATCTATCATCCAACCCATTCCATCTTGTCCACAAGAACAGGAGGTGAGGTTTTATCAAATGTTTTCCTGAAATTCTGGCATACTTTGAGTGATTCGCTAACTCACCAGTTTAGTAACCCTACCAAATGAGGGCAGCTAGGTGGCACAGTGGATAGAGCACTGGGCCTGGAGTCAGGAAGACTCATCTTCCTGAGTTCAAATCCAGCCTCAGACACTTACTAGGTCTGTGACCCTGGGCAAGGCACTTCACCCCATTTGTCTCAGTTTCCTCATCTGTAACATGAGCTGGAGGAGAAAACGGCAAACTATGCCAATATCTTTGGCAAGAAAATCCTAAATGGGGTCATCTGAACAACAAACCAAAAAATACAATAATAATAATAATGAAGATGAAAATAGTAATAACTAGCATTTATATAGAGCTTTAAGGCTTGCAAAAAATTTTACATACATTAACTCATTTGATCCTCACAATAATCCTGTGAGAATTGTTATTATCCCCATTTTACAGATGAGGAAATTGAGGCACAGAAGTTACTTCTTCTTGATGAAGCCATGTTGGCTCTTAGTGTTCACTGCTTTTCTTTCTAAAAGCTCACAAACCATTCCTTCAATAATATGTTCTAGAAGGAGAAGGAGAACACAGTTTCAATAAACAAATATTTATTAAGCATCTACTGGGTTGCTATATGTAAAGAACCATTGCAGGGCATTAGGGAGATGTGAAGAATACAAGACAGGCTCTCTGTCTTTCAAAAGCTCATGATCTCATTAGGAAGATGAGACACAATACAATAGAAAAAATGTTAGCTCTGAAGTCAGAGGGCTCAAATCCTGCCTATGATGCTCAGTACCCACATGACTTTGGGCAAGTCACTTCACCTCTTTGGACCTCTGATGTCCCAGTTCTAGAGATATAGATCATATGGCATGTAAAAAGTGAACTAAGAAGGAAGATGTTATGTAAACAGCACAAATACGAAATGGGATGGTGATTCTGAATATTGAGAAATTGCCATGAATTGGGATGGTAACACTGCGTGGAGGAGGAGAGGCCAGAGCTAGATCTTGAAGGATGGATAGAAATGATGCTGGAGAGGAGAGAGAAAGAGAGGAGAGAGACATCCAGGGAAGGAAAATGTTGTGCATTACAAGATAAGAATGCACAAGGCTCTACGGGGAGTGGAGCCCACTTTGGCTGGAGCCCATTAGTTACGCAGGTTACCTATGAGGTGATGAGTTCTGTGGGCTCATCGTGGCCCTAAGCCTTGTAGGATTAGTGCCACGTGCATAGCCATCATCGTGGCTGCAGAGCAGAAAACTGTTGCCATCAATGCTTTGTCCTTGGTCTCGCTTTCAGGCATTGCCAGCGTGGTCGTCTCATTCTTCCTCTCCATGTACTACAACATGATTAACGCCTGGTCCTTTTGGTACCTCTTCCATTCATTCCAGGTAACCAGGGAGGCTTTGGCAGATGCACCAGGGCCAGGGGATAGAGTCACCCGGAGGCTGAGATTGGGGTCTATCCCTGATTGCCCCTTGGGGAAAGGGAGGCACAAGAAAATGAATCATCTAACATTCATCTGGACAGCATTATTATATTAGCAGCAGCACAGGGAGAATACTCCAAAACTTATATTGCAACAGGCTGAGGGCAAAACACAATGTAATGTGGGAGAGGGATTGGGGTAGGAGATCTGGGAGAAGTGTCTCCATTAGAGGATGGCTGGGTCCCCAAAGGAATTCCCCCCCCCAGCTAGTTACATTTTAATTTTCTCCATAACTTCTGGACATTTACTGGTGCAAAATTCTTGCATATTGCTCCATAAAAGATACTTTAAATAAAGGGGAATAGGGGTGAGTCCTTATGAGAAGATATCTGGGAAAGATAATGAAATTCCTATCATCAAAGGGATGTGATGACCTTTGCCGCTGCTATGCTTTCTTCTTGTGGTCCTTCTCTGTTTTCTAGCTTTGGGCAAGATGGGCGTCTTATGTCTTCTTTCCTCTTCCAGAGTCTAAAGACAGTCCTCAGGGGTATTATTTTTTCATTCCTATGGGTTTCCTTCTGGTCTCCCCATAGGCTTTCCTTTCTGTGACTGAACCTCTGCTTTTTGACTTCTCTGCCTTGATAATGATGCCTATTCTTCACCTTCAATTTGATAATTCAACTCAACAAGGCATTTATTATTTCCTATAGTAACAATAATAGTGGCATACATTTATATAGTGTTTTAGAGGTGGTAAAGTGTTCCGCATATGTTTTCTCACTTGAGCCTCACAATAACCCTGGGGTATGAGTATTATTATCCCATCTTACAGAGGAGGAAGCTAAGATTTAGTGATTAAGTGATTTGTTCATGGTCACACAGCTGGCAAAGTATAATAGGGATGATTGGAACCCAGGTCTTCCTGACTCCAAGCCCAACACAAAGACATTTCAGCGTCTTCCTCCCTTTTCTTTTTTCTTCTTCTCACCCAGCAATGAAACAGAGAACAGGAAACACACTGTAACAGTCACTTGGGAGGAAGAAAACTAGGTCCCCTTTCCGTCAAGCCTGCTCTAGTGACAAAGTAGACCAGCCTTTGGCCTTAGTGAGATTTGGGCAATTGTAGGTTCATGGCTAGGCATCTTTGAGTATAGCCTTGAGTCTTTTAGTGTTGAAAATACTCATATGCCTGACTCAAACAACCCATATGTATTCTACATATTTGTCCCTTTGACCAAGTGATTCTGCTGTTAGGTCTATATTCCAAAGAGATCAAAGAAAGAGGAAGAAGACTCATGTACTAAAATAGTAGCTCTTTTTTGGTAGCAAAGAATTGAAAACTGAGGGGATGTTTATCAATTAGGGGGATGAATGCAGAACAAGTTATGACATATGACTTAGATGGAATACTATTGTGCTGTAAGAAATTATGAAGGGGATAGTTTCAACATAACTTGTGAAAAGTTATGTGAACTGATACAGGGTGAAGTGAGCAGAATGAGGAGAACAATTTATGAAATAATAATATTGTAATGATAACCAACTTTGAAAGACTTAGGAACTCTGATCAACATAGTTGAACCAAACATAATTCCAGAGAACCTATGGTGAAACATGCCATCCACTTCCAGAGAGAGAGGTGATGGACTCAGAGTGTATATTAAAGTGTGTGTGTGTGTGTATTCTTTTTTTCCCTTTTCCTTCTTTTTTTGAACATGGCTAATGAGAGAATTTGCTTTGCATGACTATTATGTATTTGTAATAGGTCTTGGGTTCTGGGGGGTTTTTTCCTCTCCAATGGATGGAGGAGGAAGGAGAATTCAGAACTGAAAATAAAATAAAATTGAATGAAAAACAAATCTATCTCTGAAAGTGGGCTCACCTTTCTAGACCTCAGTTTCCTCATCTATAAAATGATGTTAGATTAGGTGATGTCTAAAGTCTCTTCCAGCCTGAGCTTTATGATCCTATAAATTCTTGGGCAACACTATATAATAGAAAGCACACTGGATTTGGAGTCAGAAGACCTGGGTTAAAGTCCTAAATTCACTATTTGTAGGCAAGTTCTTTGATCTTGCTGAGTCTCAGTTTTCTTATCTGTAAAATGGGATTAATAATATTTGCTCTATGTATCTCACAGATTGTGATCAAGATCAGATAAGAGGATAATATATCTTTTATAAGATAATCTCACTTAGTGACCATGAAGTACAAATATCAGTTATTATTTCTCCTCCAACATGGAGTCTTGATCCATTGGAGTTTCCGTTTGAGCAGATCCTCAAAAAGAAATTAGCTACTTTGAGGGCAATTTTCCTTGGAGCTGTCTTTAACCTCTTTATCAATCCACTAACTCAAAATGAAATCTCATGACAATGAGCTACCATTCCGAGAAACTGTGCTCTCTTTAGTACACACCTTACAAGCACTGAAGATTGTTAAACTTTGTGAGTCACTTTAGTATTTATTTATTTATTCAGTCAGTTAGTCAATCATAAGTAGAGTCTTTGTGGAGGGACTCCTGTTCCTGCTATGCTTGGAATCTTGCTGATTGTGCCAAATTATTTGAACTATACCTCTCAGGAGGCTATGTATGAGATTTGAGCATGGAGGTGTCACCCAGCATGAATGCTGATTGAGTAGATAAGCTTCCAGTGCGCCCAGTTTAAAGAGAGGACGGGAGTCTCTTGGGAGCAATAAGATACAGTTTTCAATAGCTGAAACGCAAATGAGACAGATGTAAACCTATGGCAGGTGGAGTAGCAGGAAAAACTATAGCTAAGTTGTCTTCCTTACCGATCTAGAAAATGTACCAGGCCAAGTCCTGATATAGAAATACAATAAGTAATCACAGTCATTTTATTGACAGCCCAGGAGGAGAGACAGATAGGGAGGCAGATAGTGAGGTCTATAATCATGGGGGACAGGATCTAGCACTCTAGAGCAGGGAAAGTCTGTACATCATGGTAAGAAGTCCCAGATACAGTGTAGAGGAATCTGACCTTATGCAGAATGCAGAAATAGGTACTAACTGATAACTCTGTTACTGACTGCCCAGTTCCAAATCACAAATGCATAGTGGACTGAAGAGGGGACTTGTACTGAGGGTGGCATTCTATGATGAGAAGGAGTTGTGGGTCCTAGGCTATGTACTGAGCAAGGGGCAAGTTCAGACACAATCCGCAACTGTGCGGCTATGTCGCCAGCAATGAATTGAAGGATCATTTCCAGCTTCCAGCTCAGTCTGAAGCCCATACAGGAATAATCTAGGCAGGAATCCCAGACGAAAGGAGAACCTGTTCTTCTCTCCCCTGAACCAGCATAGCTTTTCAGGTGGCTGATAATGGTTGAGTGCAGCAGTTGTCTACTGAAACTTCAACCAGGGCAAACCCACAGACATGTTGCTCCAAGCAACTTGCAGAGCTCAGACCAAGAGGTTAGAAATTCAACTTTGCCCTGGGACAGACCACTTTAGGAGCACTGAAAACTTCTAGGTCATCAGCATGAACTGACCTTGAAATCTTGGAATAACATAAAACTCAATATCCCAAGAAAGAAGCAGCAGAATTTAGCCCAAGTATTCCTACTAGAAGCTTGGCCTTCACATAAAGGCTGAAGTCAGAATGAAGGCAGGAGCAATTTTTTTAAATCCCATCACAAAAAGCTATTATGGTGATAGGAATACTCAAGACATCAAATCAAAAGAAGAGAATGATGTCCAAACATATACAAATAAAGCCTCAAAGGAAAATACAGCTTGGGCACAAGTTCAACTAGAATTCCTTGAAGAGATGAAACAGCTTCAAAACCTTATCCAAGCAACAAACTCTCAAAATTAGAATGGACCAAATAAAAGTTAATGATTTCATGAAACAACAAGAAATATTACAACAAAGTCAAAACACTGAAAAAAAAAAAAAGAAAATGCAAAATATCTTATCGCAAAAAGAACTGACCTGGAAAGCAGATAGAAGAAAGATAATTTAAGAATTGTTGGTCTATCTGTAAGCCACACCCAGATCAAAAGGCTATACATCATATTTCAAGAAATCATAAAAGAAAACTGTCCAGATATCTTAGAACCAGAGGGCAAAGCAGGAATAGAAAAAATGCACTAGTCACTTGAAAAACAATTCTTAGGAACATTATAGCCAAAATCTGGAGCTTCCAGGTCAAAGAAGAAATACTGCAAGAAGCCAGAAAGAAAGAATTTAAGTACTGAGGAGCCATAACCAGAACCAAACATAGTTTAGCAGTCACCACTATAAAGGTGCAGAGAGCTTAGAATACAATATTCCAGAAGGCAAAGGATATAGACTTATAATCAAGAATAAACTGAATATAATCCTATTTAGGGATGGGGGTGGGGTGGGGCTGGGATTAGTCTTTAATGAAATAAAAGACTTGCAAGCATTACTGGTGAAAAGATCAGAGCTGTGTAGAAACTTTGAAGTGCAAACACAGGACTCAGGAGAAACATTTAAAAAGTAAACATGAACAAGCAATTATAAGGGACAAAACATGGATGAACTGTTTATATTTTAATATGGGGAGATGGTATATGTGTCCTGATCACAGAGGATGTCTAATTACACACAGACCCTGAGAGTAGTTGTGTTATGTTTTGATGATTTTAAAAGAAGAGTGGAAAGGGAAGAGAAGAGGACCACAGTCTGGGGGGAATGGAGAGAAGGAGAGAGGAAAGATGGGGACAATTATGTCACATAACTGAGGTGTACAAGTAGAAATCTACATAACAAGGAGTAAGAGGAAAGAGGAGTAGGTGACTCTTGGACCTTACTCTAATCTGAACTGGTCAAAGAAAGGAAATATGCACACAGTTGGATAAAAAACACATTTCACTTAGCAGGGAAACAGAGGGAAAGGGGTAAAAGGAAACAGAGAATAAGAGGGAGACTAGGTTAAAGAAGAGATTAGTCTTAAACAAAACAATCTAATTGG